TGTATGGTTACAAACATCTGCTGGTCTTTGTTGATACCACCACAGGCTGGTATAGGCCTTTTCATCCTGAACAGAAACGGCCCAAGTGGTAGCTAAAAAATTGATAATGGAAATGGCCTCCCCATATCTCTGGTGTCTGACAATGGCCCAGCCTTCACAGCTAAGTTGTCTCAATTGCTCTCTAAGGCTCTTAACATAAATCGGAAACTATGTCGTATGTATCATCCTCAGAGCTCAGGAAAAATAGAGAGAATGAATAGAGCTTTAAAGGAGGTTTTAACTAAATATACTCTGAAACTGGTGGTAACTGACCTCTTACCTTATGCCCTTCTCAGGGTCTAATGTACCCCCTACCAAGAAAATTTCACCCCATATTATGTAGTCTACAGGCAACCACCTCCCCATGATCCTTCAGATACATGCTGGACTGTTATCAGATTGCCCCACTCCAATCTCTGAATCCTTAAAAAGATTGCAATTAACTTTCGATAAGATTCTCCCTCAGGTCCAGGCTGCTCAACCTGTTGGGTACTGCCCACCTGATCACTGTTCCAGCCTGGAGATGCTGTATTAGTCTGCTGCTTCAAAACTGACTGGCTTGAACCTAGATGGAAAGGACCTTACATTGTGATTCTCCAGATGCCTACTGCTGTTAAGTCACTGGTATTTCTCCCTGGGTTCATCGCTACACCCTCAAGAAGGTACCTGAGGAACCCATAGAAGAGGAGTCCAACCCCCAGAGGTGGAAAGAAACTGAAAAAGGACCATTAAAAATCACTTTCTAAGGTTTGACTGTCTAACATAACTTTGTGTTCTTGCTGTTTAAATTTGTATCATGGTTGTCCTATGGCTAACAGTTTTGTTTTCAGCCTATGCAAACAGAACCTAAGAACATCTTGACCAGGGGGAAATAAAAGGCACCCTTATCAGAGGAAACACCCTGTGTAGCACGAATCTTAAAAGGTTCTTATTAATAAAATCAAACCTGAGGCCAGGTATTGTGGTGAATGCTGGAGGATCAGAGAAGCAGAACAAGCCACAGTTACCCTCACCAGTTCCTCAGCTGATCCTGTTTCCTCAGACTGCAAGCTTCTGTGTCCTCATCTAAATGGCTCTCAGCTGAACTGGCTGCTCGAAAGCCTGAAAGCTTCACCAGCTAAAAGCTTCTAGTTCCTGGTCTCCACACCTTACAAACCTTTCTGCCATCACTCCCTGGATTAAAGGCGTGTGTCACCATGCCTGGCTGTATCCTTGAACACATGGATTTCTGCCTCTGGAATGCTAGGATTAAAGGCATGTGCTACCACTGCCTCTCCTCTATGTTTAATATTGTGGCTATTCTGTTCTCTGACCTCAGATAAGTTTATTAGAGGTGCAAAATATTTTTGGGGAACACAATACCACCACAACCCTGATATTGTCTTGCCATGCAAAAGATTGCCTTTATCCACCATGGCCCATAGTTTGGACAAAAGAAGATGCCTGTTGTAGATGCCTGTCTAATTTCAAAAACCACACAAACCAGTCCAGAGAGGAGGTTTGGGAGGAAAATCTCCAGAAAAAAGGATGCAATAAAGGTAGTAGAAGCTGTGGCAAAAAAACAACAACAACAACAAAAACCAAAAACAAAATAACAAAAACAAACAAACAAAAAAACACAGAAGTAAAGAAGTAAAGGGGTCTCGTTTAACTCAAGAAGCCAAAAAAAAATGCCATTCAAAGTTTTTCTGCTTGTTTTTGTTTTGTTTTATGAAGGTCATCAACCAACTCTGAGGCAAAAAAAAACAACATGGCATTGTTCATGGTTAAGTAGTAAAACTTAGAAAAGAGGCTGCAGTTGACCTTTGCTGGCTAAGGGCATTGAAGCCTTCCACCTGCGTAACAGAAAGGTATTCTAACCCATTACTTGGTGTGGCACTGAGCAACACTTTATTCAGCCCGACTTGGTTCTCTGATTTTAAGAGTTAAAAAATCTGAAGGGCTAAATGTCTAAGACTTGGTTGTGGCTGGAGGCAGAAGTAAGCAACAGCACCGTGTCCACACGGAACTGTCTGAAGGGCTCAAAGTTGACCTCAAACACAGGGAAAGGAAGTTCTCTGTAACCTGATCTTTATCCTGAGTTTTGAGCAGAAGAGACTGGCTGGCCCTACCTTACACAGGAGAGCGTAGTAACAGAGAAAGTCAGACTTCAGGGAACCTCTGCTGCTTTAACTTGCTTTGGAAACTGCTTGTCTCCCAATTCTACAGTCTACACTCCAGCTTCTTATTCTGTGGGTCAAAACTTCCCAAGGGATCATGTAAACAAATACTGGGGATTGCAAACTATTTGGTAACAGTAAAAGGTTCTCTGAACATGTTATTAGTGAAAATTAATTCCAAGTCAAACACATAATCAATCTGAGGGGTTTGGGGCAGTACAGCTTACCCTTGTTGCATCGTGTGACTTTGGGTCTGAACACAAATGTGTACTCTGCACTGCCACACAACACCAACGAACCAGCCCTGAAACACCTCAGGTTTAAGACGACAGTACATTACAAATTGTAGCATTTTGTTGTATATATAAGCTTCTTGATCTTACAGAAACATCATGGTTTAATTATGTAAAACGGAAAACATTTATCATCTTCCCCAGCAGGTAATTATTGCAGTGTGTCTTTGGGTTGTACTGTTAGAAATGTTTGATTTTTAATAATTGCTGCTTCAGTTGCTGACTTGAGTTTCATAAAAAGGTTGTCAAGTGAGAGGGCTAGGAGATGCTTGCCAGTTAAGAGAGTCCCTTTGTAGAGGACCCAGTACAGCTCCTACCACCTACACCAGTGGTTCTCAGCCTGTGGGTCACAATCCCCTCTGGGGGTGTGGAGCCATTCTTTCACTGGGGTTGCCTAAGACCATTAGAAAACACAGATATTTACATATAACTTCATAACTGTAGCAAAATTATAGTTATGAAGTAGCAACAAAAATAATTTTATGGTTGGGGAGTCACCACAACATGAAGACGTATATTAGTTCTTATATTCTGTATCTAAGAATAATATATAGATATATAACATTCTCATATTAGGGTGGCAGCATTAGGAAGGTTGAGAACCAATACAGTGGCTCACAGCCACCTATGACTCCAGTTCTGGAGATCCAATGACTTTTTCTGGTGTCTCAGGGCACCAGGCATACTTGTGGTACACATACATACATGCAGGCAAGACATTCATACATATAAATGAAAATAAATAAAACTTTAAAAGATTTTAAAAGTAAAAAATGTGGTTTAAATGAATTTCAGCTTGGATTAGGATAGAATTTTCCAACTATTTCTGATATGGTT